ATAAAAAATAAAATTCTAATTCTTTATCCTTACCTAAGTTTAGATGAGTAACCATGTCACATGCTTGTAATTTTTTTAAGTTTAAAATACCAAGATGACCATGTTGTTGAAAGAGATTGGCGTTGTTTAAAGTTTTTTTTTGTCTCTATAACAAAAAAAAGTCTTCTTATCTTTGTTTAAAGAACATAACAACTTATAGAAGCTTCAAAGTCTAATATCTTTGATGATAGTACGATCTTAATTTATTAGACATATTTAAGCCATAAAATTGACTTTCATAATCTTGGTCTATGATTTTTTAACAAAAAAAACAATTCTTGGCTTATTCTTCAATATGCAATATGTCAAGTATATCTTTTTAAATATGTTTTAGAAATTAGAAAGATATAATATATTTTCTTTTTAATGGCAAGTCTACTATCATTATCTAAATAAATTTTAGGAAATAGTAGTAGATTTTTATAACTCAAAAATCAACTCAAAATTTTTATCATGTGTTGTGAAGCACCAAAATTAATGAACCATTTTTTAACACTCATAGTAGTATAGAATGCATCTACAAAAAAAGATTCATCCTTCTTCTTTTAATCATTCTTATCTCTTTTATTAGCCTACTTTCTTTTCTTAATCTTTTTCAACTTCTATAACTTCTTTTCCTTCTCTTTGGTACAATTCTCTCTTTTAGAGTTACCTTACTTGTCACAATACTTATATTTGGCATCTTTCTTGTGATTTTGTGAAGAATTCCATAATTATGAGTTTAAGAATATGACTTAGTTTTGTTGATTTGTGCCAATATTGCCTCAGACGTTGATCTTATATTTTTATTATGAGATTCTTTTTGCAATATCAACTTGTGACCAAATGCTATAAATTCTTTAAGGCAAAAGTATTCTTAATATTATAGTTTTTTTTTTTTTTTTTTTTTTTTTAACTTGTACTTTTGCACCTTTTAAATTAAATTAAAAAATTATTATTATACTAGAAATCTTTGCTAAAATCCTCTTGATGTTAGAAAATATTGAATTGTAATGCTATTAATTTTATTTAAAATATTATACCATAAAGCATTAATTTTGAAAATATATATATAAAAAAAAATAACCTATAAAAAAGTGCTAAAAATAAATTAAAATAAAATATATAAAAGGCCTTAGAAAAATAAAATTAACAAATCTATATTTTTTTTGATACAAATGAAATATTATTTATAATACAAAAATTATAAGATTTTTGATCTTCATAATAAAAATATATCTACACAAATATATATATATATATATATATATACTTATTTTATTTAAATAATTTATTTAATTAAGAATTACTATTATTAAAATTTTATAAAGATTACCTAATTTAGACTAAAAACAAAAGTCATAGAAGTCGGACTAACAACTTGTATAAAGGTCAATTAACTTACTGTATAGTTTGGTTGTTTTATGTCTTTAGTCTTTTTAATCATAAAATATCGTGTAATTATTAAAATTAAATCATTCATTCTTCTAAACTTGGTTTAAAATCTTATATTGAGAAGATAATGCTTTAAGACTGGTTTTTTTTAGATATCTATTTTTTAATTTAATTTATTTTAAATTTAAAAATTAAACATTTTTTTAATTTAGATTTATTTTTTGAAATATTTTATTATTTAAAAAAATTAGAATTTAAATAATTTTTTTCATTAATAAAGTTCTTCAAAAACTAAATGATAAATCAATGTTTCACTTAAACTTTAAAAAGACCATCTAGAGATGTTTTTATAACAATTTTTTTCTTTAATAATCTTTTATTGCAAATTATCAGGCTTAAAAATTATCACAATATTAAATTATTATAGAATTAAAAAAAATCATATTAAAAAATTTATCTTAAATATGATTATTTTTGACATCATCTAATATGTAATTATGACTGAATATTATATTTAATATGTCTTACTAAAACAGTTATTAAATTTTTCTTTCAAATTATTGGTTTTAAACTTTATGATTTTAAACCATATTATTTTAATTTTGACTTAAGAATAAAAATTAATTATACAAGTTACAATATTTTTAGATTATTAGGCATGCATGCATTAAAATAAATAAATAAATAATATTATAAAAGATTAGATGTTAATATCCAGTTTTCTTTTTTTCTTTTTTTCTTTTTATCTCTCTTTAATTTAAAAAATCTTTTGAATATGGTTATAAATTAGCTTTTTAGTGTTTCACATTCTTGTTTGCTTACAACAATTTCTATAAT